GAGGATGTGGATTATCGGGTGTGTGCGTGTGTGTGCGTGTGTGTGTTGGGGATGGAGGGGTGCACGACGTGGGTAAAAACTGACCCCAGTTATGTATAACTTCGCGGATTCATCTGAAAATCTGATAGCACACTCCATATTTATGTGCCTTGCTGTGATTTTCAGGGAAAATGGAAGTCATCTTATGGTGCAACACCGTGCTGGAAACAATGGGGTCATTTAGTTTGGGACACATGAAATAGCTTATTTCCATTGCAGCATCCTGTGGAGGTCTGATGCAGTAGTGAATGCCAGCGAGGTTCTGTTGAATGTGCAGGTTACAGGGAGGTATAGGCACGGACGCCTTCTACGAACCTCTTCATGATAGGAACCCCTGATTCGTCTGCCAGTCTGCCGTCTCGATGGCAAGACGTCTGTCTGCCCAAGAGAGAAGGTCGTCCTCCCGCATCAATGTGGCCAAGAAAAACGTATGGGCGTTCAGAGATATTTGTAATTTTGTATTCTGGAGAGCTGTGATAGAGGAGTGGCCGAAGCGATTGGTGCTGGGTCATTGGGATTGAGGACCAATATGCAACTTCATGAAAGATAGATGGGTTTTAGACTGAGGGTCATAGGGAGGCGCTCGACGGCCCATTGCCTTCGAAATTGTAAAATCTTGGCTGGTGCAGCCGGCCCCGGTGTTTCCACACGCTGCGAATATACGCAGCTGCATACAGCGCTTTCGGTGAAGGGTTATTAAACTAGTGACCCCGGCACCGCTAAGCAGGCTCACATTCAGTTTTACGATCTGAGACTGAAGAAAGCGCAGGGCACTTGACACAGCGTGAACTTATATTGTGCGCTGGGTTGTGTATTTCGTTCTTTGTCCGGATTCAAATATCCCCAGCTGCTTGTGAACCTGCGTCTGTATAAACAGCTTGGGATTTTCATTTGGAATCTTTCCAGTGCAGTACATTTGTGTGTAGCAATTGCCCTCCAAGACTTTTAGAAAACTAGGAGTTTCAGATGCAATTACAATTTGCAGTTATAGGGCCTAGATTTCGAAAACTTTCCATGGTGTTGCCGAGCCCGCCAAAAATTGTGTCCGAGAGTGTTGCCCCTTTCCGCGAGCCTGCGATGCAAGGAGGATGGAGCTTCCAAAGTCGAAAGGGAAACAAGTATGGAAGCCGTCGCCTTGAAGCAGCAGGGATGCTCAGGCACAGGCAAGGCCGCGCGACGGAAACCATAGCGCCAGCGGGTTGCGTGGACCGCCGATCCTTCAAAAGTACAACGCATTTGGAGGCCTGCACCATGGACTGAACGGCGGCATTGACTGCAGAGAAAATTCTTTCCTAAGTTAACAAGACCTGATATTTCTTTGCATTTTTGTAACTAACACTTGACTTCTTTCTCATGTGATCAATTGGCATATTCAAATTTTGAACATGTAGTGAATATTGAAATTCTTATCATTATAATTTCGAAAATTTGTCTTTTAAATGCGAATTTGTTCTGGACAGAAGAAGTGACCGGATATGTTTTAGATCCTGACGCATATTTTATCGCATCATAGTAGGCCATTGCACCAATATTACTATATTTGTTCACCAGCGACAAAATGCTGGTAGATTCTCCATCAAATTTAAACATTTAGCTAAATCGCAATTTAGAACATAGCAGTCCCCGGAATTGTAGAAAGTTGCCCGAAAAAGATGGCTGATCATGGCGGACGTTCTCCCCCCTTGCTCCAAAATTGTTGTCGAAAATATTCTCTCTACATTCATCGACACGAATATGTGATTTATCAATCAATAGTGAAGTGTGACTTGAGTTGCAATTTACAGGCACACAACCTCAATAATGAAGATGACGGTAATGCCAGATTGTTTGTTTGTTTGTTTGTTTGTTTGTTCCTTACATGGATGCATCGACATGACGTCACGGCATCGATCAATGTAGCGTACCATCCAGTGTACAAAGGGCACGTCCAGGCCCACCTCTAGAACCGAAAACACGCCTCTAATAGCGGCCACTGCTGCCACCGAACCCTGGAAACTCCCCCACAAAACAAGAGAAAATGTCGGCAAGCCAAGAATCAGAGTGATGGGCTATTTTTCGTTCACTGCTTCTGCGCGAATGCGGTCACTCACTGAGCTCAGAGAAGCTCCCAATTGGCCGCAATGGGTAATGCCAGATTGAAATGAATCACGCTCGTTCGAATGCATTTATACATGGCCGCACTGGTCGCGAAATTCTCGATGTGGGCCACATCATGTGCCGTCGCAAAATAGTGTGATATTCCAAAATGTTCTGCACGGTGTGACACTGTGTGCAAAGTGTGTTACAAGAGCGTGCCTTGCGTGTTTGTGTGACTAAGGATCGTTTCTTTCCCAGGAGATCTTCATTGGGTGACGAGATGGATCTGGGAAGCTACTTGCCACCGTGATTAGCCACCCATGATTCTTGCACCTCCGTCAGAATATACCAGCGTGGCTGCGTCTGCCAAAATTTACAACAATTCTCACCGTTCGCCCTAAGGGGTAGTGGCATAATAGTGCATTCAATACAAAATATGGATCGCATTGGACAAATGTGCATATTCTGGAATCGAATGCAATCCTTTCCGATTGACATCATAACATTACTTCCTAAGTAACCAAGTCTGCGACGAAATCGACTCGTGCGACTGTCTCCGCGTAGTTTGGTTCATTTTGGGGCCACACTAGCCATCTCTGGGCCTGCTCCCAAGGAAACAGAACGGGCCCTTCTTTGCATACATTGCCATCGACAAATGCTTTTAGGTAATAGAAACTTGCGGATTCCTGGACTTTTTTGTGTTGTACTTTAGTCTTCAACAAAATGGTCATGGACACTGCTGTTCTCGGGCAGAAGAGGATGCTGACTGCTACCTGCTTGGCTTGCTGCAACAATCACATATTTATATGAAAATTAAAGAATGAATGCTAACGATTCAGGCTCTCGAAATTTCATGGCATTCTCGATGAATCCATGAGTCGGCTTTTGTGATGGATCGACCTGATTGATGACTTGTTTTGTGTATCGAGTACTGCACGCTCTGCACAGTCACCGACCTTCCCGTCTGAAGGGAGGCTAAGCGTCCAGCGGCGCATCAGCCACGGCGAGGCAACACAACCTGCACACACTCGGAGAGGACCAGATAGGCTAGCCTCCTGATGCAATGGACCTTCCGCATAACTAATTGTCATATAGTATGTGAACACTACACAGAGCGCGCCATATATATCGCAAAGGTGGATTACCTTCTTGCGATCTAACGCCAGGAAGGCATGTCGTGTGTTAGGTGTCTTTCTGTCAAGGGTGCATCACATTCACATGCAACCAGCACCCTGGGAAAGGCGCGTTGCGCGATTGGTGTCTTTCTGTCAGGAATGCATTCTCATTCACATTCATCCAACACGGGCACACACACATGCACGCCTCAGCAACGCCAATGCCGCAGGACCCCTTGGACCGTCCACCATTGCGGTCAACGCGCGCTCCCGCCCGGCGACGAATCGGCACCTTCCAAGCGCCGTTTCGCTCGTCCGATGCCGCGCCCCAGTCGGTGAGGCCGACGAGGCCCCGCGCTCCCCAACGGGCGGGGGCTGCGGGGACTCGGGGCATGACTTTGGCAGGTTCACATATCCTCAAAGCTTTGGGGTTTTGACTGCCGCTCGAGGACTGGAATGTCATCGGGGAGAGATGGGCAGTCGCAACGCCGGCAGCCGCCCGGGAGGGCACCCGGACGGCAGGAGGGATCCAGCCGTCGCGCTTCCACCGGGAGCTTCAGCGAGTGGCTCAAAAGTCGAATACCCAGCGGGATCAAGTCGTGAGTGGAGCGCAGCGATGGCCTGGCCCCCTGGCGAGCGGATCGAGCAACGAATCGGCACTTGCCGGTCTATCCGGGGCTCGTTTCCCCACCCATGTTTTCGCGCTGATGTGGCTGCGGGCTATAACGAACGGCTCAAGCAGGCCTGGAGAACGGTTGGATATTTTTTCGACAGTTTGCCGGTGTCTGTACAAAATCAAAACGCTGGATGAACGAACAGCCGAAAGGAGAAAATATCGCTCAAGATTAAATGGGGGGCTGTTCGTTCCGTGAAGGGTTAAGAATCGGGCGTCCCTTTCCAAAGGAAATCGCCAAAGGGGTCTCAAACGACCTGCCCGCAACAGTGCCCACAGGGCGCAATTATGGCAACAACATTTTCTGTTTCATATGTGTGGCTGCTGTACATTGGATCTTAAGCCAGTGCTAATTGGTTTAACAAACTGGTACAAACATGAATTTGTGTGCCTGAAATATTTGCGTTTCCGTTTCTATCAGATGATTGGATGGGATGCGTACGACTGAAGTCTTATGTGGTCTGTTAAAAGGGAGAGGTTTCCTCCAAAGGCGCCAGGCCTGGACAAAATGAATGCACATGCCGCGAATGTTCCATGCCAGTACGCGGAATCTCCTGGACCTGGCAGGTGCGCAACAACTTGCAGCACGAAGCTCAATTGCTTGTGAGGGGTGCACTCGCAAGCAAGCGTCACTGTGTTTTCTGTTTGTCCCATACATCCGTGAGTCCGGAAGGAGTTCCAGCAACGCTGATAAGCTTGCATCACGACTGATGGGAAATGCAACAAAAAATCTTAGGTCAATGAGTTTTTTGATGCATTAGCTATCAATTGTGATGTACGCCTCGCTCATCAAAGCTTTATCGGCTTCGTTACCCCTGAGATTGGTACTCGCTGGGCATAAATTCCAGTACCAATCACCTAGTACATCAAAATCAAGTCCGTCGTTGCTCGCAAGATATTGGTTGATGGGAAGCGTATCAACGAACTCCTTGCAGCAAGGCTAATCCCGAATGAGGGCGTAAGATGAACAATTGAACGCATCAGAGTGTAGCAATTGGTTGCGTCGTTAGCATCCTGACGTGCAGTTGTGCATATTGATGTTTGTGGCCAGAGGGCGCTGTATGCACGTGGTCAACATCGCCTCTGGTGTGCTTCAGGGTAGTGGAACTCGAGGCAGATTTACTGAGTCAGAAGAGCAACAATGATGCCATGGCGGAAAACTTCAACAGCCAGATGGCGTACTTGAGGGGCAGGCTGGCGGCATCCACCGAGGAGGTGAAACGACTATCTCAGCGAGCGGATTTCGAAACAGGCAAATTTGTGGAGCTGGCGCACATGGGTAACAGATTGTCGGATGATTTCAGCTCCCTGAAGGCTGTTCTGAGATCCGGTGGCAATTTGGTTGGGGATGTAGACTACCGCATACAGCTCCTACAGGACGGCTTGTACCAACTGGCAGGAGAGTTTCAGCGCTTAGGTAAGCTGTTAGACAACATCTATGCCTCCGATAGGCGGTGCGACGCCTCAGGTGTCAATAGGCATCCTCAACTCTGGTTGCATGGGATCTTGCCAGCCTAGCCACTTTGGAGACCTGCCTTGTCGGTAGTTCATGACCTGCAAAATAGATATGACATGCAAAGGGTGTGATATTATCCTCTGCATGGCGCTGCTTTTAACCTCAGCAGCGTAAATCGGGGGTTCCAGTTGGGAAGTACACAATATTACATACTATCCAACTGTTTGGGTTGTGGTGCATTGTGCGCATCCAGCTATATGAAAATTTATGGTTCTTACCAAATTAGGTCTCAATCCGACGCAATCTGAGATTGCATGCGTCATTTGTCTTACCATCAACTAGGCGGGAGGATTACGCAGATTGAATGCCCCTCGATTGAAACGGCACCTGCAGCAAGTCTTCTCATGGAACAACCGGATACGAGGCAGTGGCTATTCAGATGTCTCACATTATGCACTGCCGCTGCATCATATGAATAGCGGTTATTGTGATTTTTCCTTCAGTGGCTGGAAGAGAGGCGGCTGGAAATCCATCGTACGCTACACACGCCAGCATTCCTACAGTCGCCCGATCTTCGGTGGTGATTCCCCACTCCGCGCAAGCGGTACTGGCGGACATTTCGCAGGAACTGGACGCCCACAAGAGCATGAACGCGCGACTGCAGGCCGAGCTGGAGCTGTCCAAAAATACAATAGATGAATTGAGGAGCAGAAATTACGCGCTGGCCGTCGAGGGCGAGAATCTGCGGCGGTTGGCGAGCCGCGAATTGGACAGGAGCAAAGCAACATCGGGGGAGCGAGGCGCAGAGACTGTGGCAGACGCGTGCGCATGGCAAGAGGGCAAGCCAAATACAGAGGGTCAGGTTCGCGCGCTGCAGGAGGAACTGAGAGCGGCGAACAGCGAACGCAACACAAAAGAACAGACTCAGGCGTGGCACAAGAGCCCGCAATCCACCACCATCCCGTGCCAGCCGGAGCTGGGAGACCTCATCTCCAACCTGGACGGCCTGCAGGAAAGCCTCAGCTGCGCGTTTCAAACTCCTCAACACCCCGGGCCCGCTGATCCGCGCCCAGGACCTCAAGGCACCATTGACGACTCCGTCGCGGCCTCAAGTCACGCCGCGGATGCCGTTGCCAGACACCCCAACTTTGCACCTCCCCCGCGGCGACCTCCGGTGGTGTCTGAGGAGGAGACGGCGCGCCTGAAGGAACGGCTGTGCGAAGTGGAGGAGGGCGCGGCGCGGCTCCGCAGGCGGGTGGCCGCGGAGCGGAGCTCCATGGGCAGGCAGCTGAGCGAGGCCCTGGCCAAGAACGGCGCGCTGGAGAGGCAGATGGCCGAGATGCGCCACAATCTGAGGCGCTTGGAGGCGATACAGGCCAACAGCGTGGGCGTGCAGACGGGGTGCTGCCGGGCCGGACAGGAGGGCGGGCAGCCGTCCTTCAGGGCGTCCGGCAGCGTGGCGCTGCCCGTGTTCCAGATGGGCAGGGAGTGGGGGGAGATGGCCCTGGCGCTGGAGTTCACAACGGCCGGAAGCGAGGAAGTGGGCGGGGAAGGGGAGAGGAAGCCCGAAGGGAACGCGCCGCGGACGGATGAGGCGAGGGATCGGCAAACGGGGTTGGGCGGGGGGGAAGCGAGCGGGCGGTGTGGCAAGGGTGGGGTGTGTGTGGATGTGGGTGAAGGCATCGGCGGGCTTCATGCGCGGCAGCGTTCCGGATCGACGGAGCCTGCGAGCGTGGCCCGCGCATGCAACGCACAGAAGGACGGCGGGCCGGGGAGTGAGGAAGACGCGCACGCTGGCCCTTTCCTGCGTCCTCGACGGCTCTCGTGCCCAAGCGTGGATGCGCCCATGGAAGCGCCCCACGCTGGTGCTGTGCGGCGCCTAAAACATCTGAACAGGAAACTGTTCGAAATCGCGCGGGAGACGGCGATTTTCAGGGAAAGAAGGAAGTCAACTGAAGCCGCTTTGGAAGGCCTGGTGTCCATGGCTGCCAGTGCCAAGGTGCAGCTGGTATCGCTGTGCAGAGATACCCAGCTCAGTGAACATGAAAAGTCCCGGGATGGAGGTGTTGCCACAAGCGGAATGAAAGGGCCTATTGGTGGACCGCACAGCACGCTGAGGACTGGTCTGAGTTGTTTACTCAATCAGCTGGATCTGATGCATGTCCGGCTGCGCCTTGCAGCCTGCCTCATAAACGAGGGGTGCCCCACCACAGGGTCAGGGAAGCTCAACCAGCTGTGGCAGCAGTGCGTCAAACTTGATCTGGTGGTGTCTGGCAGGCTGAAACTGCAACATGGCTTGAATTCAGTCAGAGCACATTTGACCCAAGAATACGATCCCAGGGGTCAGAATCCGGTATCCTCTCTTCGCATCCATGATGTGAAAAGGGTTACACAGGGCCACATGCAGTTTTTGGACGATTCGTTTGTAGAACTACCTGCATCTAAAGATTCGCGCATTGGTGGCGCGTTGGGGTTCGCGACACATGCAGTCTCAAGGGTTCGTCTGTTCAGGGACGATTCTGCGCTAGACTCCTGGAGCACAGAAGATGACACTGTCCTGCATGCCTTGAAGCCCATTGGTGCATTGCCAGGCATGGAACATGCTGGATTCCATCCATCTGGTGGGCGCACACCTCCAGAGCAAAGTGGAGATTTTCCAAGCCAGGAAAATTTGGAAGACATCCGATGTGAGTTGATCAAAGCTCAGGATGTGCTGAGGGAGCGGGCAAGTAGAACAGCAAGGTTCAAGAGCGAAGTTGTGTCACTCCGAGCTCAAATAGCAGACTCTCAGAAGACCCTGAGCATTTCAGCAGAAGAGTCGAAACGACTAGAAAACCTCTTGGCACCCCTGATGTCAGAGTTAAGTGACTTGAAGAGAAAGCTAGAAGAAGAATCGAATCGAAATAACGACTTGAAAAAGCAAGTTGACGCCTCCAAATCGAAACTGGGTGGTGCAATTGATGATATGAATGCGAGAATCACTGGAAATCAGGCTTTGGCGGAAGAACTTGCAATGGTCAATGCCCAGTTGGCTGGCATGCAGCGAATGCAGAAGGAGCATGAGAATGAACGCACAGAGCTGGACAGTGCATTGGAGGCAGCTCAGGGTGAGTTACAACATTGTGGCAAGGAAGCGAGCGAGCAGCGAAATAGGGCAGAGGCTTCGCGGAACCGTTTGAAACAGGTGCAATGCGAATTGGAAGGCACTCGCAGAGATTTGAGTAAGGAATCTGTGGAAGCGGAGGATCTCAACAGAGAACTGCAGCAGAAAGTGCTGGAGCTTGAGAGTTGCCAAGACCGTTTGGAGATGAGGCATAAAGAAGTTGAGGATGCCGCAGGGGGGCTGCGAATTCTGAGACCAAGGCTGGCTGAGTGCCTCCTGAATTTGGAAGCCAAGCAACAGGCATCCTCAGCACTGACAGAGGAAGTTTCGCATGTACGAGAACAGCTCACACAGAATGAATCAAAACTGCAGGAACAAAACAATTTATGTCAAACCGCGACTCGCGAGCTTGTTCCAATCAGACAGCAGTTAATGGAAGCGCAGAAGGTGTTGTTTGAGAAGTTCGATGAAGCACAAGCTCTGAAGGGGAGCTTAGAAACGACAACAAAAGAGCTTATGGATACAAACAAAGAACTTGAGGAACAGGCCGCCAAGGTTGCGTGGCTTTCAGGAGAAATGAAATTGTCACGTGGCAAACTCGACGAACGACGGGCTGCCCTTGCTGGGGAACAAGCAAATGCGTTGCGGATGTCAAACGAACTGCAGGAGGTAAATCTCGAGATGCTATCGTTAGAGGGGCCTCTGAAAGCCCAGAGCGGCATTGCCCAGAGCCTGGAGTCCGACCTCCAATCAGGGAAGAGAGAGCTGCAAACATGCAGAGAGTCGCTGCAGCATACCACCACCAAAATACAGAAGTTAACGAATGACGTCGGCGCTGCAAAAGGGGATCTGATGGTGTACAGACAGTTGTTGGAGCAGAAGACCTGCACTGAGAAGGAAATTGCCAGTGAAATGCAACAGGTCGCGTCAGATGCCGAGTGTGCTCGTTCCAAGCTCCAAGACAAGGAGAACCAGGTGGAGGCTGCCCAAAAGGAGCTGCAGTTGGCGAAGGAAGTCCTCCAGGTCCACAACGAACAGGTCGGTCACACCGCCACTCTGTGCGAAAATGCCCAAAAAGAATTGCTGGATGTGAGAAGTCATTTGAGCAGGTGCTCTACAGAACTAGAGGGAAAGAGAGAGCATGCCATGCGCATGCAGGACGAGCTGAAGTTTTTGGCTGCAGACCTCAAAACCAAAGAAGCCTCACTGAAAGAGGAGACAATGAAGTGCAGTTCACTTTCCAGTGAACTAGAGCGGGTTAGCGCTGATCACGCTGCAACCGTGGAGGCATTGAAGAAAGACTCCGCTCTTTCGCTCCAAATGGCGGATGCTTTGAATATGAAGAAGAACGAATTGGCAAAAGTGCGCAGCACGGAGGACGAGCAGCGCCGCAAGGGTGCTTCCTTGGTGGAGGAACTGGGGAACATGACCGTCGAATTGAATGGCGCAACTTCTGGTTTGGATAATTTGAGAGCAGATGTCGACCAG